TTCAGCATCGCAGGTGACGAGTATCGAGACCCTGAACGTTGCAGCGGTGGGCAGATATCCATGTATATAGGTATGTACTCCTGCTCTTTCCTCTTTGCGTGCAACAACGACTAGATCTCAATCATCGGCTTTTGGATCTTCTCGCTTCACACAAGGTTAGACGGCGAATGCTTGAACCACCCTCTTTTGGCACGACTCAATGTATGACCGTGTTGTGAAAAGCCACAATCGATATTTTGCGCGCTCCCAAGGAACTGCTCAAAGTTGCAGAAGCAGACAACAACATATGTACAGTTTCATGAGCAACCAAAGGCTGTAAGAAATCCTGGAAGCTCTCGAGTTGCGACGATTAGTTCACCATCAGGGAAGATGGAAAGTCAGCCCCACGGAAGTGTGGGGGAAGCGCTTGATTAGCGTCGGACACGGAACACGGCTGAGCACCGATTCTCATGCGAGTCTCAACGTCATTATCGAATTGTTATCAGTGTCTCCACGTGTCGGTATACACACGTTGTGTCGCCTAACGTGGCCTCGTGCACCGGCCCGAGGCCGAGTGTATCGCGTCGATCCTACTTCGGTCCAACTTCGGATCAACTCTGATCCAAGCACATGTATACCTTCGTAGCCCCCACATTCGTAGTGATCAATACCAATACACAAGATTACCTCAGTTACTGTTATTCACCGTACGATCGTACAGAAGCCTTCCAACACCACGCGAAAACCACCAAATCAAGGGCTCTTAGCGCTGTTTGAAAGCTAGCGGACCATATGGCGGGAAGAAGAGATTGACCTTCCTCGATTCTTCCCCTATCTGTGCCTCAGCACGAGCATCGTGGAAGGCCTTAGAGTGCGTCATCTTCTTGGTATTGTGTAAGCAACAATGCGGCTGCGCCGAGCGCGAACTTGATTACATTCCTTTCTACCACTACACTGGCTGCGGTGTTGTCGCGCACTGTCCGGCACACATTCTAACCTCTCCGCAGTACATCATAGCAATGCGCACACGGCCATAGACGAACCCACCCCTCGATCCCTTCACCGCAACCCCTACACAGTGCCAACATCACCATGTCGGAGAGCACAGATGCCGCCTTTGTTGATGATAATGATCTCGACCGAGCCTTTCGTCAGCGCCCCAAGTCTTCTGCGTCGAACTCGAGAGTGCCACTTTTGGTACACAGCAAACCAGGCAAGTCTGGCCCTAGTTCGCCCGGACTAGACACGGACGATGAGAACACCCGTCTTCTGAACCCTACACCAATCGACTACCGGAGTTCAGACAACAATGCGAGCGACGATGGGGAGCCAGAGTGGTTTCGCGAGTTCGAAGGGTTGCCATGGTGGAAACGACCGTCGATATACTGGCTCTTGCCAGCCTTCCTGCTTTTCACAATCGCTTTTGGTGGCATTGTCGTGCCAAAGATCAACCTGATTATGGACCTGGTTTGCGAGGATTATTATGCTTCTCTCGACGGCAATGGCGACCCAATATCAAGGCCCATGGACCCAGGCGCAGACAGGTGTCAGAACGACGCTGTGTCATCTCGATCCTCGCTCTTCCTTTTATACGGTAGCCTGTGTTCTGGAATACTTGCAGCCATTACCAGTCCCAAGCTCGGCGCACTGTCAGATCGATTTGGAAGGAAGACGTTCATGATCGCGAACACCTGTGGCGCGCTCTTCGGCGAGGTCCTTACTATTCTAGCAGCGAAATTCCCGGAGACTGTTCACGTAAACTGGATTCTGGTTGGCTTTGCATTGGAGGGTCTATCCGGATCATTCATTGTGGGTATGGCTTTGGCGCATTCGTATGCTAGCGATTGCGTGGCGCCACAGCATCGCAATGTTGCCTTTGCATACTTCCACGCCGCTCTTTTCGGAGGAATTGCCCTTGGCCCCGTGGTGGCTGGTTATATCATCCAGGCACGCATGAAATACACCAGCAAGATCGACGCAGTCATCTTCATCTTTTACCTAGCATTGGCGGCCCATGGTCTCTTCATCGCCTTCCTCGTCTTCTGTATCCCCGAGTCGCTCAGCAAGTCTCGCCAAGAAGCTGCACGGGAGAAGCAACGAGAGGAGATGGAGAGATTGGGTCCAGCGTCAGACTGGATCAACCAACTGCGACATATCAACCTATTCCGCCCACTGAAGATTCTCTGGCCCACAGGTCCCGGCTCTTCCTCTGCGGTTCGCTGGAATCTGCTGCTCCTTGCCGCTACAGACACCATCATGTTTGGCGTCGCTATGGGCGCGATGGGTGTTGTTCTTGTGTACACGCGCCGACAATTCGATTGGCAGTCGCTTGAGTCTGGACGGTTCGTTAGCATTGTCAATGCGTGCCGTGTTGTTGCACTCCTCGGTTTCCTACCTCTGCTCACCCGACTCGTGAAAGGCAAAGATGGCGCCATGAAGCAGCGCAAGTCTGGCACGGATCGATTCGACCTGACTATCATTCGTGCAGCCATCTTCTTTGACACGTTAGGTTATGTTGGTTATGCACTAGCACCTAATGGAGATTTCTTCACCCTTTCGGGTGTCGTCACTGCTGTTGGAGGTATCGGATCGCCAGCGCTCGGAGCTGCCCTGACGAAGCATGTTCCCAATGACAAAGTAGGCCAGTTGCTCGGCGCGACCGGACTGCTGCACGCGATCGCGCGAGTCGTTGGACCGACAATCTTCAATGGCATCTACAGTGCGACTGTCGCAGGCTATCGACAGACCGTTTTCGTTGTTTTGGCGTCGACGTTCGGACTGGCGTTTTTGTGCAGCTGGTTTGTACGGCCTCACGGTAAGCTACCCAACTGAAATTCCCTGACTCGTACTAACAAGGACACAGTTTATCTTGAAGATGACAATGAGCCAAGTTTGCAGCCTGCAGATGTAACAGATCCATAGTGTGGACTGCTCGATTCTATTTGTATAGCACACGCTATGCCGCTTGTCCCTTGAATTTACAACAATACATTAGTAGCGACGGCGTTTTTGTTTCTGCACAGCATGTATACAAGTATACAAAATGTGAACACTGAACACACTTTGCCCCTGCGTTGATTGGTACATATACCTTTCTAACATATATCATAATTGAAGCATTTTGGTTTCAACCGGAAAGCGTCCTGCACATATATTGCACCAGAAGACATAAATAATACCAATCCGTACACTTTCCACAAATATCCAGTCATTCCATTGCAGATCAGAATGCCTGTGTTCTGAAAGCAAAAGTAAAAGCCAAAACCCGGCCGTTTCTGATATCCGTTCATCAACACCGAGCCTAGAATATGGACAAAAGATCACCACCTGCGACCCCTCGACCCCATCCGTCAAGCCATCCACCGCGATCGAGGAAAGTTCATGGGAAGGGCATTGAAGTATGACCGACTAATTTCTAGCTAATCCTCAGTCACACCACAATGTGTCATCCAAACCGTCTCCATACTTGCGGTGTAACTGGGCTGCACGTGCTGCAGACCTTCCCGCTCGCCGCTCGCCAGACTATAATAGACTAATCTGGAGCAGTCTTAGTTAGAAGTACCTTGAACTATATTCCAAGGTTGCAGAGCAAAGTATACCCTGTAACGTACCTCACAAGCGAGCTGGCCACACAAGCGAGCTGGCCACCTGCGCCAAGACCCCACCAAACATACTATTGCGCATAGTATAATCGCGATGAGCCAACAACCAGACAATCTACTACCTTCAAAAGATGCTCGACTACAGCTTACTCTTGAGGCTATCAAACGCGACGCGACGCTATCCCAGAGACGTGCTGCAGCTATCTACAACGTCTCTCGAGCAACACTCAGTAATCGCCTTGCTGGAACACCTTATCGACGCGATTGCACGCCCAACTCAATAAATCTCCTTAAGACAGAGGAGCATGTAGTTACTCAGCATACCCTTGACCTCGACGCGCGAGGATTTCCGCCCCGGCTTGCTGCTGTGAAGGATATGGCTGATTCTTTGCTGGCTGAGCGTCACCGTGATCCTGTTGGCCAGAACTGGGCTGCAAACTTTGTCAAACGTCGCCCTGAGCTCAAGGTCAAATTCAATCGCAAATATGACTATAAGAGAGCTCTCTGCGAGGATCCTGAGATTATACAAGGCTGGTTTCGGCTTGTAGAGAACATGAAGGCTAAGTATGGTATCCTTGATGACGACACCTACAACTTTGACGAGGCTGGCTTCATGATGGGCATGATATCAACTGGAGCAGTAGTCACTAGTTCTGAGCGTCGAGGACGGCCAAAGAGCGTTCAGCAGGGCAATTGAGAGTGGACTACAGTGATCCAAGGGATCAATGCGATGGGCTGGTCGATCCCACCCTTCATCATCTTCTAGGGCAAGCACCACCTCTCAAGCGTAGATCGCATAAAAGGAAGCGTATACAGCAGCAGGGTATCTTAACGATCGAAGAGGGCGTACGACTGACGACCCTTAAGGAGTTTGAGGCGCGTAGTGATGGGAAGAAGGCAAAGAAGAGGGTGCGCGTTGAGGCAGGTGAGCCTAGCCAACGACGCTGTGGACGCTGCGGCGAGGCAGGGCATAACGCACGTACGTGTAAGCAAGAAGTATTAGTAGATTCTGAGTAGAATAGCCTATTACGATTCTTAATTACTATCCTTGACGGTGCTCTACGGTCGTGTACAGTACTGATTTTGGTAGGGTCTTGGCGCAGGTGGCCAGCTCGCTTGTGTGGCCAGCTCGCTTGTGAGGTACGTTAGTAGAAGGCGAAGTACGTAACGTAGATCAGGAACAGCAAGAACGCCCCCAATCCAAAGACAGAAATGATCCATCTCCCAAACACAGCAGCCTCCTTCGTATACCGAGCAGTAACGCGCACGGTCCGACCCGCACTAAATCCAATCTGGGCCCTTGCCACACACACCACACACTCCTTCGGATTCGCCATTTCCAAGCCCAGCCCCAGCCCCAAATTACTAGGTTAGATATTTATTTTTTTAACACCATGTCATCAACAACCCAATAACCTAGGCACTTTGGCGGAGTGGTTAACGCGATGCCCTGCTACTTTCTTAGCTAGGCATTTCCTTCGGGAGCGTGTGTTCGAATCACACAGGTGTCGGTATTTTTGCTCTTTTTGCGGGGGCGGAGGCGGAGGCGGATGTGGGGGTGGATGAGGATGGATAGGGGGGGGTGCTGGTGGGGATGGGGATTAGGTGTTGTTGTTTCTGTTGATGGGGAATCGGACTAGGTTTGAGTTTGTGAAGCAGAAATGCAGAGCGCTGTGAGTTTGAACATATCTTCGTAGGGAAGGACATTATGCGGCTTTTTTGACAACACGATTCTATTATATCATGAGGCGGGAGTAGCCTCTTGTTTCCGCTAGACGATGCAGGACTTGGTGCTCCACCAAGACTCCTCACATGTTCCTGCTCTCCAGATACTCCTGCACCCGCTCAATCAGCTCCGCCTTCTTGCCGGCAACAGCCTGGCCCCGCTGACTCAAATACGCCTTCAGCACCGCAACGGTCTGCTTGCTAATCTGGCCCTTGTCGTTGAGGGCAGCCATCTGCTGGTCGGTCAAGCCGTCGTCGTCAGCGTCCTCATTCTTCACTTTGGGCTCTGTCTTCGCGCGCTTGGCGGGCTTGTCCTTGTCCTCTGGCTCGGCTGTGCGGCGCTTTGGCGCGGGCTTGCTGCGGACGGCGAGGGAGTTGCGGGACTGTTGGGCGAAAGTCTCGGCGAACGTCTTGCCGTAGTCCTCGATGTATTGGCCGCAGCGTTTGTCGATTTGCTTGAAGCGCGGGACTGTCTTGTCGACGGGTGTGGTGGGTATGTCTTCATCGAGCGCCATGGCTTGCAGTATGCGGTAGAACCACTGCAGATCGGGGTTCGGGTACTTGCTTGGATCGTAGACGCCGCCGGGTAGTTGCAGTTGCTCCATGATGATGCGCATCTTGTCGGTCAGCTCGTCTGTGGTCTGGAGGGGAGTTTCTGGTTGCTCGGGAAACTGGCGAATGTCGTCTGCGTAGGGGAGTGGGATCAGCCATAGGCCTGGTGGCATTTGCTGTTCACCGTCCTCGTCGATCTTTTCCTCGGAGGGCAGAAGAGCGCAAAGCGTTGGAGAGGCATTCCGACGCGCGATGAACCAGACAAGACCCATCTTCTTCGACTTAATGAGCTTCTGCTGCAATGCTGAGAAGACCCGTGTCGAGCCGATGAAATCTGCTTCGGAAGGATAGATGAATGTGGCCTTGTTCGTGTTTGCCCAGATAGGTACGCAGGACATGGGCTTGAAGCCAATGATACGGATTACTGGGTCACCAAAGCATTGCCGTATTCGTGTAATCTCATCTGGTGTAAATGTTATGGCGTCTCCACCGAACTTGTATGCTTTCCGAAGCTCAGTCTTCTCTACCACCCGCGCTGTATCGTCGGCCATGTGCGATGTGGACTGCTGTACGATCTGAGTCTTCTCACCACCAACCCAGACATAGCAAGACTTGGCGTGCTCTTGCCGCTTCAGCAAAAGGTACCCCTTTACGCCTATCTTTAGGCCTGGGCCGAGCTCCATTGGTATCGAGAAAAGTGCTCGACGAGCAGCAGCTTTTGAGTTGATGGAAGAAAGGAGCTGCTTCAGCAGTGTGATGCCTTCGCCACTCTTAGCTACTTTGGTAGTAGATGCTATTGCTACTGGCGCATCTGGGTCAGACGGTGATGTAGGATATACCAGATCATCGTAGAACAGCGACCGATCGAAGCTGTGGTCCTGTCGAGAGATGGGGAACAAGTCAATGGTACATCCTAGATCGTATAGGTCGCGGGCACGTGTTACGGCTGCGTCTTTGTCCTGTTTTGCTTTGGCTGGGTAGTCATTGTCTGTGACCAGGAAGAGTCTCCTCGAAGAAAAGTTTGGTGCTTTTGTTGTAAAGATTTGGTTTGCACAGAAGAGCACTGTCGCTATGCTTGCTCCGTCTTTAGATGGCTTCAGTAGCTTCTCCGCCGCCTCCTCATCTTCAACGATATCCCGCAGTCTCTTCACGTCCTGTGCTGACGGTACATCTAAATCTGATAGCAAGTAGCAATACTGAAATGTGCTGTCGCCATCTTTGAGATCGGTCTTCTCAGTGCCGAAGAGCAATATGCCCATCATGTCAGTTGGATTCGAAATGATACGTTGCTGCATTAATTGATATGCGCATTTCAGCGCTGCTGAAGTTGGCGAGTCACGGTCTGCCTTTTTGTTGTCCGAAGCGGGCGGGCGCTCCAGCATAGTCGGACTGACATCGATGGCGAACAACACAGCATCTTTGATCGATTTGTAGCTCTGCCCGGGTCAATGAATAGCACCGTGCGATTTTGGAATATGCATCATACAGTCCCATCGAGCTCCTCTTCTTCTTCCTCTTCCTCGCCTGGCTTGCGGTCCTGCGCGTCCGCCATGATGATATGTTGCTGCTGTCGACTGGCGTTCACCGGAATGTAGTCTTATCGTTGCTGAGTGCTTCAGAGAATGTGCTGCCAATCGCAGTTTCGACGATCGCCAGTTTCTTATGTAAAGGCCTGAAGACCGCTTCTGGGTGTGTGCCTTGCACTAGTTGTTTGCAAGGCAACAGTCGTGGGAGACGCGTTAAGCTGTCGCGGTGTCACGGGAGCTTGCTAGTGCGCATCGGCCGCAAGTAATCGCCGGTAGCTCGATCCGTAGGCTCGATCGTCATCACTCTGCTTTCAACGATCCTTCATTGGCCAGAGCTTTCAGTCGGGCGATATTATCAAATCGGCTGTCTGGCCACAGCTGCTCTTCTCACACATTCGTTCGACCGAGGTTCCCATCTCCTACTTCATACACTTTCCAATGGCTCTGCGCACACCTCTGACGCGCGCCGCGGGGCGCGTTACATCGACAGTCACTGCCACACCTGCGTTTTCGGCATACAGCGCGCAATGGAGGAGAGGCAATGCATCTGTCGCCCCAGTCACACAGAGCACGGGCTCGAAGAAGGGTACTGCTATGGTTTTTATGAACATGGGAGGACCATCGACAACGGACGAAGTGGGCAGCTTCTTGAGCAGGTTATTCGTACGTGTTGGAGGCGTCATCATCAAAGTTGGAGCTAACAAGTGTAGGCTGACGCTGACCTTATTCCCCTGGGCCGCCTCCAGAACTACATTGGTCCTCTTATTGCGCGACGACGAACGCCGAAGATCCAGAAGCAGTATGCCGAGATTGGCGGAGGGTCACCCATCAGGAAATGGTCAGAGTATCAAGCCGCAGAGATGTGCAAGATCCTGGACCAGACCTCGCCAGACACGGCACCTCATAAGCCCTACGTCGCCTTCCGTTATGCAGACCCCCTGACAGAAGACATGTACAAGCAGCTGCTGGCTGATGGATTTGGCGGTGGTAACGGCGGCAGAGCTGTTGCCTTCACTCAATACCCTCAATACTCGTGCTCCACAACTGGATCATCACTGAATGAGCTCTGGAAGTGGAGGACCAGACTGGAAGGCAAGAGGGGCACGGGGGAGGTCGACAGCAAGGGCGCAATCAACTGGAGTGTTATTGACCGCTGGCCGGCACACCCTGGTCTCGTCGAGGCTTTTGCAGAGCTGATTGAGAAGAAGCTGCTCGAGTACCCAGAGGAGCGAAGGGACAACGTCATTTTGCTGTTCTCGGCGCACAGTCTGCCCATGTCGGTGGTCAACCGTGGCGACCCCTACCCTGCTGAAGTCGCAGCAACCGTGTACGCAGTTATGCAGCGATTGGGCATGAAGTACAAGTACCGTCTGGTATGGCAGTCGCAGGTCGGACCGCAGCCATGGCTCGGTGCGCAGACTTCGGACACTGTCAAGAACCTGATGAAGAAGGGCCAGACCGACATGTGCCTGATTCCCATTGCCTTCACCAGCGATCACATTGAAACGCTCTACGAGTTGGACCAGGAAGTCATTGGCGAGGACGCTGGAGGCCACGAAGGCGTCAAGCGAGTGGACAGCTTGAACGGCAGCCCTACATTCATCAAGGCGCTCGCCGACCTCGCCAAGTCGCACATGCACAGTGGAGAGGCATGCAGTCCCCAGATGATTCTGAGGTGTCCCGGGTGCACGAGCGAGAGGTGTCTGGCGCAAAAGGAGTTCTTTGCCAGGCAGTCTGGGCAGGACAAGCAGGAGGCCGCAGCGGCGTAGGCCGGGCAATCACGGAATGTATACCTTGTATGATAGTGTACGGTTTCGCGCAAAATGTGGATCAAAGAGTGGGAGGGCTTGGAATGATGAATGGACTGCTTGCCCACGGCCTGAGACTGTGCATGTATGCTGATTGACCGCTGAAATGTGCGATTGGTGATAGTAGCTGAGTGGAAGCACAGGGCACCCAGGGTCGCTGCATCTGTTGAGGTGGGTCTCGCTAGCGTCAAGTCGGAGATGCGAGAAACAGGTCAACCCAAATCTTTGCGCGCCGCAACGACGCCCTCTACCTCCCGCCGCCCTCACCGTCACCCCCGCCAGCCCACCCCCGCCGGCGCCACCATGCTTTCCAGGTCCATCAGGAGGAGCATTGCCTCGCCGCTCCGCCAGCGCTTTGTCGCTCCCGCCGCGCGCCCGGCCTTCAGCAGATTCGTGACCACCGATGCCGCCTCGTCGCACGCCGACCGGGACCAGGTCCCCGAGGTAGGAGAGCGCCCCCACGCGTGCCCGCAGCGGCCGCTGTGGCCGTGATGGAGCAGTGATGGCTGACGCGCCGCAGGCCGATGACCAGCCCTTCGAGGTCCGCCTATCGGACGAGGCCTTTGAGACATACGAGCTCGACCCCCCGCCCTACACACTCGAGACGACCAAGAAGGAGCTGAAGCAGATGTACTATGACATGGTCGCTGTCCGGTACGCCTCTGCCGCCCTGCAAGCCCCCCACTGCCCCCGCTGACCTCGCTCACAGCCGCATGGAGATGGCCGCCGATAGGCTCTACAAGGAGAAGAAGATCCGCGGCTTCTGCCATCTCTCCACCGGCCAGGAAGCCGTCGCCGTCGGCATTGAGCACGCCATTGAGCGCGCTGACCACCTCATCACCGCCTACCGCTGCCACGGCTTCGCCCTGATGCGCGGCGGCACCGTCAAGTCTATCATCG